AATGGTTCTTGCAACAAATAAATAATTCTTTATATTTAATAAATATTTAATTGGCAATATTCAACTAAATATATATTAAAATTGACTATATTTCTTTCTCAGTGTATAAATTATTTATGTACTATTAAAATTATATGTATAATAATAAAATATATTCCTTATAAGTTTGATCATTAAATGTCCATCTAATGGCGGACAGATCTGATTTTAAGGAAACTGCGGAAAACATTTCTGAGAAAACTCATCAAGGTGAAATATGGCCGATGTCGTTCGGCCACAAGTACGTATGCGATCGCGGCGCGCCAGACGTGTCGTAAATTTCTCGCAAATACCGCAACTCGATCACGTTCGACGGGATCTCAACGCGGAACGTACGTATGCCGTTGGCCAAAAAGGGAAAAGGGAAAAGCGGCTTCCCATTACGCTCTTAATTGAAACAGCGATCTCAAATGTAGGGGAATGCGTCCGTCTTGAATATCGACGGACACAAAGAGAGAAACGGTAACGTTAAAACGGTCGAAAAAAACGGCAGGGGGAGATTGAAGGAAAGGGTGGAAAGGCCGGAATGAATAGAGGGAGGCGGCTGGAAAGAGAGAAAGAGAGAAAACGTGATAAATCTCGCCGCGAACAATAAGTTATCGTAAAGAATCGTTTTCGCGTTTCGTGACACGGCGGGAAGAACAATGATTTGTCGGAGAAATTCTCCAATTCCAATTCCAATTTCAGAAATGGCCCTAGAGACACCGACATGGCTGAATCTATGCTTCGCGGAGAAGATCCTGCGAAAGTCGGAAGGCGACAATTCTATCGAAGTGACCGATATATTCTCAAAACCGGCCACGAATAAAGGTGACAACTACGCCAGCGACATGATCAGGATTACTGTCGAATTTTCACGTGATCAAGATGGCCGTAAGATTTCAGAGAAGAAATCAATCATCATTAAAGCCTCGCCTATAATTGATGGTGCTCGACAGGAACTTGTAAATTGATTTAATTTATACAATGTAAATGTTTCAAGAGAGAGAGAGAGAGAGAGAGAGAGAGAGAGAGAGAGACAGAGACAGAGAGGGAGAGAGAAATCAAACTGTAGCAAATTTCATTATTTCAGAATAGATCTCTACTTAAAAAAAAGATTAAGATAATTATTTTTGGATAATCAGACTGAAGATACAATGCTTTTTATGAATCAAGTCGAAAAAAATAAATATATTTACAGAAAATGTTCTTTAGTTGTCCCAAAATAATTTTTCATTTGTGGAATAAAATTATTTTTTATTATTTTTTTTTTGCTTTTCTAGAAATCGAAACTTTCTATCACACATCTTACTAGTTAGCTTTATATCACAAAAATAATTGCATGCTTGTTAAATTATAAAAATTCCATTTGTTAATTTTAAATAAATTTATTACAGATCGAGCAATCAGGTCTCTTTCAAACCGAAATATTAATGATGTCAGATACCTTGGATAAAATGAATAAGATGTTAGACCCAAAGCACCGCTTAAGTGGAAAAGGTCTATACGTACAAAATGAAAATCCAACGCTTTTGGCGATCGAGGATCTCGCGCCTCTCGGCTATCGCATGGCCTGTCGTCTGTCTGGTCTTGACCTAACTCATTGCGTATTGGCACTTCGCGGAATAGCCAGGTTTCATGCAACCTCTGTAGCCGTATGCGAGAAGGTAAATCACTACGCATGACTCAATCAGTCGTAATGTCTCATTACAATTATTAAAAATTCAATGACACGAATCAGAACAATAAAACATTCAAATTTTTGCATTAATAAATCCTTAATATTAAATATAAAAAATATATATGGAATATCGACTTCAAGTGCATAAACATCACATTGCAATAATTTCTTGTGTTGTATTATTCGAAGTATCTATTAAAAAACATGACATGCATCTAGTAAAAAAAAACGTCAGCAGTTTGTTATTTCAGCATCAGATTGCTCCCCTCGCCCTGATGAAGTAAACTGTAATGTTGTAAACCGAAATGTTGGCATTCTAAAAATCGATTTGGACACGGAGATAACTCGTGAAACACCTAATTTCAATACAGTTAATTTTAATTAGCTTCAAAACTTTAACTATATTTTATTTATGTATTTTGTCTTAATTTATTTGGAATAAAATTCATCATATATTTAATAACTCTTATGTTAAAAAAAGTAAAAAATAACATTATAACCAATTATAATGTTATTAATAACATATTATTAATAACATTAGAACCAAAATTTATAAATAAATTTTGGTTCTAAATAAATCCAGATGCAATTGATAAAAAATATGTAAAATAAGTTATATTTGCAATAAAGTTACAAGTTTTTTGCAGAAATACAAAAACTGTCTATAAATCTTATCTTATGATTCATGTAATTAGTTTTAAATTAATTCTAAATAACATGTATGGAAAGATAAAACTTAGCAACCATTTATTTTGCAGTAAACAATGCATATAAAACTTAAGTAATTATTTATGGTAATAACTAGTCATAGAAGATTTATAAGAAATCGAACAGACATATTAAGATAAGGAAAAATTATTATGCCCAGTTACGTAATTGAACGATTGTTACGTAATTGAAACCATCTAAGATAAATATCCTGCATTGGAATCCTAAACTCTGATACAACAGATACGTGCATTGTAATAATGCGTGCGGCATAATGGTTATCATAAACCGCAGCAATTTTGTACAGTCGAATAGAAGTTTGAAACTGTACGACGAGTGATCTAGCAGAAATGCCTGGCGGAGAATAACCGTTTCAACCAAAGTCCAATATCCTTTATTATCCTTTATTACGGCACGTGCTTCGGCGTGTAGCCAAGAAAACAATTTGAAAAGTGTCCTTTACGAAAAAGAAAAACAATTTACTAAAAAACGAATATATCAAATTATTCTCTTAGCTAAGAAAATCGACTTTTCCTTGACTGAAATATCGCGCATACATATATCAAATTTTGAAATTAAAGCAATTAAAAAGGAAATTTTTTTATTTTAAAGAGATATTTATATGCTTAATTGTAACTGTAAGCAATAAATCTTTTTATATTTAAAAACTTGTAACTTAAAATTAAAATATTTTACATTAAGAAAAATAAATAATAGTTTGTTTTATCATTTTCTCTAAAAAAAAAAATCTACTTTAAATTTGTTTAAAAAATTAAATATTATTAAAATTATGATCGTAGATTATTTGTAGAACTGTATAACGTTGCAAATTTTCAATCTACAAATTCAACTATATAATTGTATGATGGAATGGATAAACATCAATATAATCTTTTAATAAAAATATTTTAACATTTAGGAACCAAAGCAAAAAGATATGTATGCAAGAGGAATGTTTAGCAGCCTGCAACCAATAGAATTGAGAGGTTTTTTCAACATGAGTGTTAAAGCTCTAGCAGACGAAGTCGCAACCTGGCCAGGAATGAAAAAGTAAGATTTATATACATAAACGGAAATATTTATTTTCTCCTTAATATCTAAACTAATGCTTTTAGGCTTTTACGGGTATTACCTCCAATGATACCAGAAGGTTTGCGGGATTAGGCATTAGCAATGGATAAAAGCACGGCGATAATCCGCAAATCTTCTGGTATCTTCGACATCTAAAAAATATTTTATATGCATTAGATAAATGTTAGATATGAAAAGAGTGAACATATTAAGGCAAATATGAGTACAAATTGTGCTATTTTTATTTCATATAATGTTTATATAATTTTTGTCCGCTAGATACGCGGATAAAATTGCTAAACTTGTCGATCACATATACCAAATAGGAATAGATGCAACCAAGCGCTCTGATGATGAATTTAATGTTATTAATCATGGTGATGTCTGGGTGAACAATATGATGTTCAAATATGACAATGATGGCAATCCTATTGATCACATTTTTGTAAGTATCATTGTGTTATAAAAAAATAATATTTCCTTTAAACACGAATGTTTATTGAATTATTATAATCGTGGGCTTGCAATTAAGATTTAATCTTAAATAAAATAATTGAATTTATACTGATACGATTAATATTGTTAACAGCGTATTCATTTAAAAAATTTATCTTTTTAATTTAAAAAAATGTAAATCATATAAGAACAAAATCAAAATACAATATCTCATAGATACTTTGTTTCAATTAGCTACATTTCTGAATTTTTATTAATTCTAATAATTGATTACAATAATATAAGTTTATTAAAAAGAAACAAAATAAATGAAATAAATAGACGATATTCTTAAATACATTGTCATGATATATGTTAATGCATTTTAAATATTCATAATATCGACTTTAGCAGTCAAGACAAAGAGGCGGCATATGTTATGAATAATGCAATAAATCCAGTTCGATCGCATTCAGGTACATTCGCCACCTGTCTGCCCGTGTCGTCTGTACAAACTCAACTTTCTCTCGCCACGACTTCCTAAACACGAGTCCCACTTCTTTTCCGATGCATGGATTTTATTTCAATTGCCGAAGGCTCAAAAGATCGATCGACCGAAAGAGTTTGTTTGATATTATAGGTGGACTTCCAACTGTGTATCTACACGTCGCCGGCACTCGATCTTCTCTATTTTCTCAGCACAAGTCCTTCACTGGATGTCATTGAAAACAAGAAAGATATTTTATTAAATGAATATCTTGGCACTTTATCGATGACTATGAAACAACTAAACTGCAATACGCAGCCGCCCACTATGGAAGAACTGAAGACTCTCTTAAAACGAAGAGCTAGCTACGGGATGATAGCATCCTTCTCAGTTTTGCCGATAGTATTGTGTTGTAAAACTGAGGCAAAAGATTTAGGAGAGCTTATAACCGATGGTTTTACAAATCCAGGTCTTAAAAGTGAAAGTTATAAAAAATTAATGCAAAAAAGACTTCCACTGTATGATGAGTGGGGTTTACTAGATCTCTAATGCATTTTTTTCTTTAATAATAAAGAAATAAATATAGAATAGAAATTTAGAAAAGAAATGAAAATAATAAATAATTATTAACAAATGTGCATTAAAATTAATAGTAATAGATGTGGAATGTTGATAAACTTCTTTTAAAAAAAAAATCGTCATGGAATTATCATAATAATGACAGATCTTTCGTTCGAAGGATTAAAAATTATTCTTTTATGATAAATTGTTTTTATTTTTAACTCATTACAGTTTTAAAATAAATTTATATTACATTAATATTTATATTAAAAACGGTATATAAATTCATTCTTTGTTTTGTTTTGTAAATATTTAAAACATTTTATAATTCAATTTATATTATCAAACAAATAATATCATTAAAAGATGTATTGTATATAAAGTAATTCTATAACAATACCAATGCAAAAACAATGTACAAATTAATTAAGATATGGAAAAACGAATTTTAGAAGTTGTATTTACAAAACGCGCATGAAAAAAATTGAAAAGAATTGTGAAATAATACTATAAAGAATATTATTTAAAATATTTATTGTGTTATACGATATACTAGTCACAAAATTAATTTATGTTATTATCTGTTATTCTTACATCTTAATTCTTAGTCATTAAAAGTATTGCTAAAACGAGATGAACAATAATATTATATGTATAGTGAATGAATAATGTACATGTAAATAATAAAACAAAGTAAATATGAATTAGATATTATTATTTCCCTAATAAAATTATTAAATACGTAAAAAATATTATAGAAAAATGTAATGCAGATATATGTATAAAGATTTCAAGATATTAAACACACACACACACACGCGCGCGCGCGCGCTTGAAATATATAGCTTGAAATATATATATATGTATATCTTAAATTATAAGAAATTATATACATATATATAATTAAGATTGCTATAATTATAATAAAAAAAATTAGAGTATTATAATATAATATAAGGAAACTCAATTATTCCTTTTAATAACTTTTTAATTAACTTTCATTCTCTGCTTTGCTATACAAAGTTACAAATTACCTCCTTTTACGATGCAAAGTGAGAAATTATATATTTGACTTCGTTGACTTAGATTAACATAGATTACTTCAATTATAGATCACATTAAAAAACATGGAAGATTCTACATTTTAATGTCTTCGATAAGTTGGTTATAGTTTCTTAGATATTCGTAAATTTAATATAAAAATCTTCTTAATTTCAATGCTTTTAATACATTTCTCTCTCTCTCTCTCTCTTTCTCTCTCTCCCTCTCTCTCCCCTCTCCCCCCCCTCTCTCTCTCGTACAATATTTTATTATTATATTATATATTTATTATATTATATTATACTCATACATTTATTTTATTATACATTTTACATTTTCTTTAAATCTTCACATCTTCTTTAAATTTAAGTACGACGCGAACACAACAATAAAAATCTGTTTATAATATAAAAATATTTTAATTAAAATTAGACTCATGAAAATTTATGGGTAACAAACAAATAATATATTGTATAGGAATTATACAAAACATTATAATCAGAGCTTTAATATATTAATTATAAAATTATCTTTTCTGATATTTTCTTGTTATCTATTTTACATAAATCTTCGAAATAATCAGATAGATTTAGATTCAGATTAAACTTTCGTAACATTCTTTGCAGAATAATCCTCTAATTTTGAATAAATCTATGCGACACAGTATTGCGTGCATGTTGGTCATTTCACGGAAACAAATAGCGAGATGCGAAAAACAATGAAGTAGAAACGAAATTACTGATGGGCACGCGTACTGTATCGCATACCTATTTTATGAATTAATTACGTTATTTTAGATAAAATATATTTAAAAAAAGATTCAGAAAAAAATTATTAAAAAGAGTGTTTGTGTAAATTGAAATTAAGACAACAGTGAATGTTGATTACTCGTATTTATTAGTATTACTAGTATTTAAAGTAAAATGCACAATCTTAATAGAATGTATAAATAACTTAATAAAATTTTGCTTATAATTTTCGTTAATTTTAGATAAAGCTAAATAATTACCGTTCGCGCTGTTCAAAATGATTCCGATTCATAGCATATATTAAGCGCGTTACCGAATAATTAACCTTTGTTGTGGTTGAATAATGATTCCAGTTACTTATGGTATTCCATGAAATAAACAGCAGGAAATTATTTTGCAAGCATAATTGGGAAAATTTTGCAGAGAGAGAGAGAGAGAGAGAGGGAAATTGTATTACTAACGTTAATGCAGCATAGTTTCATCAAAATTAAACAGTCAGCAAACTTAATAAGTTGTTATCAGAGATGTGCTGTCTTTATAAAACGTTTCCAATTTCCTGTTATATTCTTATGTATGTGTATTACAAAATCACAATTTAATATTATTAACACATAAATTATAATGTTATATAATTATTATATATTACCAATGTAAATCAAAATAAAATAATTATACGTAAATATTAATTAATTATCATAAATTCTTATAAATTACTGTTATAAAATAAATTACATATATAATATATTAAAAATACATTACTTCTATTTTGATATGTTATAAAGAATAATTAAAATATAGAAACAGATTTTGTTAATAAAATATACTTTTAATGGATTTGCTTAATTTATACAGTGTGAAAGGTAAAATAGTACAATGAAAGATCAAGAATAAAAAATAGAGAATAAATAGAGTATCAATTAATACTCCAGAATTTGATCACATTGATTGCGCATGTTACTAACTAGCAATTGGTGTTTGCAAACCTCATATCTCAATATGCCAGTTGGAACAACGCATCAATAGGTGTCGATTTTGATTTTCGCAAGAACAGTAATACCCATCAGATTATTAGATTATAACGTAGTAGCAGAATCAATTGAAAGCCCGATTTAGCAAATCAAATGTAATCACAATCTATGTATTTACCGATCAGCTTTGGATCAACGTTTTTGGTAAATGTAACTTATTCAAGGTACTTTCTACTTCTTTCTTTGAAGTTATAGATTATCTATTTCATAGATTTTGTTTCATTTAAAATATAAATTTTGAAATAACCGTCAATTAAATGCATTTAATGGTTTTTTTATTAATTCACAAGTAAAATATTATAAATAATGACAGTCTGTAAATTCATTTATATCAACTTCTCTTTTCAGATCTGTTCAAATGTGCCAAATCGCGCTCATTTCAAACAGTGCGCGCATCAATGAACCATACAAATTCTCGAACGCAACAATTAAATCCCAACGAGCCATCACGCGTATAATCACACACGCCTATCGAAATTGCGTAGCTGCGTGTGAAATGTGCCCATTCCGGAAACCTTGTAGAGACCAGCTCGATGAACCGCGAAAACTAATTAATATCTTTGGAAAGTTGGAATATGTATTTCTCCTTTCAATTGATCGAACTTATGCCTATTTCCTGGCGTATATGTCGTCTGCGTTTCGCATACTCGCTCTATCGTACGCGTGCATATGCGTCTGTATTTTGTGTGTGTGTGTGTGTGTGTGTGTGTGTGTGTGTGCGCGCGTGTGTGTGTACGCACGTAGGCGTGCACGTGACGTAGAATAAATGGCGATATTAATTACCGCGATTTGCCATCTCTGATACTGAAATCGACCTCTATTAATCTGAGCTTACACCTTTCGTTTGCCTGCACCTTGCTTGCATCGTGAGAATAAATCCCCATTTTAATCCTATCAATATCGCACTTTTATTTACTAATTTTTATGATCTATAATTACTTGCATGCTTAGAGAGAAATAATTAGTTTTTATAGATAAAATATTGTAGAGTATAGACAAATTAAGATAATTTTAATAATATTTGTAATTAATTTTTAGCAATAAATATTTCTGAAGTAAACTGTATAAATTGATTTTACAAAAAAATATATACTCGTACTACTTCTATTGGTAATCCAAAAAAATCCTTTATTCTAAAATACTTTAAATAGATCGCGTTTCGTAATTTGCGTTTCATAATTTTTTTAAGTGATAAAACATTATTTGAAAATAATGTTTTATCACTTAAAAAAAATGTTAAGAATTTAAAAAATTACTCGAATTTTATTGCAATTGCATTCTGTTTATTTCTAAATTGTATTTTAAAAGTTACTTTTGTATTATCATATTACAACCTATTCATACATATCAGCCTTCGAACAAATACAAATAAGATATTTAAGACATGTTTCAATTGTATTAATTAATTTTATAATCACTAAATTACAATTAATAATATTAAAAATTAGTTTAAAAAATTTGAAATAATTAATTTTAAATAAAATAAAAATTAAGAGAAATAAAAATTGTTATTACACAATCTGAAGAGAGAGATTTGTTGTCACGACTTGATAGCTGAGACGCCATGTTACACTAAAAAAATGGTAAAAAATATATCAATTTTAAAATTTTTGATCGTTCTCGGCATAGACTCCACTTCCCAGACACAAATTAATGCATATACTTCAATCTTGAAAAAGGATTTTCGAATTGGTGAAAGAGAAAAAAGTATTTGTTATACAAAAATTACATGATTTAATTGATAAAACAAGAGACTTTAGGATCTCCTTAACTATATAGTATAACTCCGAAATTCACCTTTGGGTTATAAATGACCCAACCTACAGAGCGTACATTTTTTGTAACTAAAAATTTTTTATTTTTTTTTATTTTCCACTAATTCTTGTATTGCGGGAACATTTCGCGAATTATTAAAAAAATTTAACTCTAAAACAACATATTAGTCTTTAATAAACGCGATTTCGGTATCCTTGTTCTAAACGTTGTCAGTAATATTATGTATTAGTATATATTATGTTGTCTGTAATATTATAAAAAACATTTTCCTAATAAATTATAAATTTTTTTAACACAATAGCAATAATGCATTGTTTTTAAAAATGGAAATACAATATACCTTCAATTTATAGCCATTCATGCATATTAAAAAAAACATCAGGTTACTCAATAACTAAACCTTTTGGATAGCCGACATTTGAATTT